GTAGCTGTAGCGCTAAGCACAGTGTAGCTGTAGCGCTACGCACACTGTAGCTGTAGCGCTAAGCAAACTGTAACTGTAGCGCTAAGCACACTGTAGCTGTAGCGCTAAGCACACTGTAGCTGTAGCGCTAAGCACATTGTAACTGTAGCGCTAAGCACACTGTAGCTGTTGTGCTAAGCAAGCTATAGTGCTAAGCGCACTGTAGCTGTAGCGCTAAGCACACTGTAGCTCAGTAGCTGTAGCGCTAAGCACACTGTAGCTGTAGCGCTAAGCACACCGTAGCTGTAGCGCTAAGCACACTGTAGCTGTAGAGCTAAGCACACTGTAGCTGTGGAGCTAAGCACACTGTAGCTGTAGAGCTAAGCACACTGTAGCTGTAGAGCTAAGCACACTGTAGCTGTAGAGCTAAGCACACTGTAGCTGTAGAGCTAAGCACACTGTAGCTGTAGTGCTGAGCACACTGTAGCTGTAGCGCTAAGCACACTATAGCTGTAGCGCTAAGCAAACTGTAGCTGTAGCGCTAAGCACAGTGTAGCTGTAGCGCTAAGCAAACTGTAACAGTGTAGCGCCTGTCTCTTATACACATCTAGATGTGTATAAGAGACAGGTTATGAACCACGTGAACCGTTATGAACCACGTGAACCGTTATGAACCACGTGAACCGTTATGAACCACGTGAACCGCTATGAACCACGTGTACCGTTATGAACCACGTGAACCGTTATGAATCACGTGAACCGTTATGAACCGCGTAAACCGCTATGAACCGCGTAAACCGCTATGAACCACGTGAACCGTTATGAACCGACCTCTCGACATCAGGCACCGGGATAAGATCAAGTCACGTAGGCACGCATCACGTAGGCTTCGTATGGTGGATGGGTCACGCTGACACGCTTATCACTCNACCCCCACCCCCCTTCCTCAGTTGTAATAAGTATTACTATATATTGGCTACTGAATAATTCTCAAGGTTAGGTAGGATTTCGATAAAAAAATGATAATTATATCTGAAAAAAAAAACAAAGTTTTCCCAATGAAAATTCAAGAACATCAGAATACAGGAAGGAACTCGATCCAAAAATGGAGAATGAAAATAAGTGCCTGTGAACAAAGCTATCATTCCACCGTTAATAGTATTCAGCATAATATGTATATTATGTTGGATGTTTATTTGTACTGCGTTCAATATTCTATAATATCTCATCCCAGCGTTGAAATTGAATCATAATTAAAGGAATTCATCGATTCCAACAATAATTAATGTGTTAACAGATACTACTCCCCTAGCCTCTGCCCTGCCTTATCTCGAGCAACAAGTTTGTTCCCTGAACTTCACTTCCTCCTCAGCAACTGCGATAACGAAACTAAAAACAACAAACTAAAACTAAAGAAAAAAACTGCGTTTCGTTGTCGCAACGAAACAGCCCCCTCCATCAACTCTGCTTATGTCTGCGAATAAAAAAACAGCTGATTAATTGCTATTACTTTAAGAAATATACTAACGGAAAATTGTAACTTATGACTTAAGTACGGTCATAACAACAATGGCTATAAATACGGCAGAACAATAAAATACTTCTTCGGTCAACGTCCTATGAAGGCCGTTCAGGCCCAGCCATTTAAACCTAACGCTAGGCCTAGTCCTACATCCTCAGTGTGGCCGCGGCCTTGACAGCGAGAGGTTGTGTCGAATGTTAGCTCCGACGCATACTCATTCAATTTTGCGTGTTGCTAGCTGGAACATTATTTGGAGTGACATCACACACTGAAAAATACATGAAAACCCTGACCTGCTAAAATTTTTAGGTAAGTTTCGAAGATTTTGCTGCATTTTTGTGTGTGTGCAAACGAGGTTTTGGTGTGTCGACTCAGACATGTTGGAGGCAACCACGTGACCGGGACGGCGAGCTAACTTTGCATTGCTCAATTATTTTATCATTTATTGCTCATGGATTTAATAGGGAAAATTGAAATTAAACCTTCGATTGATCCTGGCAAAGGCTCATTACAGGCGGAATTTTTAGCGTTCCATGTTGAAATTACCAATTATTAATTAACCCGTGAATTGAACGCTAGCAGGAGTTCACTGTTGCACACTGTTAAGTTGTAGCGCTAAGCACAATGCAGCTGTAGCGCTAAACATACTGTAGCTGTAGCGCTAAACATACTGTAGCTGTAGCGCTAAACAAACTGTAGCTGTAGCGCTAAGCACGCTGTAGCTGTAGCGCTAAGCACGCTGTAGCTGTAGCACTACGCACACCGTAGCTGTAGCGCTAAGCACGCTGTAGCTGTAGCGCTAAGCACACTGTAGCTGCAGCGCTAAGCACACTATGGCTGTAGTGCTAAGCACACTGTAGCTGTAGCGTTAAGCACACTGCAGCTGTTGTGCTAAGCACACTGTAGCTGTAGCGCTAAGCACACCGTAGCTGTAGCGCTAAGCACACCGTAGCTGTAGCGCTAAGCACACTGTAGCTCAGTAGCTGTAGCGCTAAGCACACCGTAGCTGTAGCGCTAAGCACACCGTAGCTGTAGCGCTAAGCACACTGTAGCTGTAGCGCTACGCACACTGTAGCTGTAGCGCTAAGCAAACTGTAACTGTAGCGCTAAGCACACTGTAGCTGTTACGACGAGCGTAAGATCCAAGACGAGCGTAAGATCTACGACGAGCGTAAGATCTACGACGAGCGTAAGATCTACGACGAGCGTAAGATCTACGACGAGCGTAAGATCTACGACGAGCGTAAGATCTACGATGAGCGTAAGATCTACGACGAGCGTAAGATCTACGACGAGCGTAAGATCTACGACGAGCGTAAGATCTACGAAGTTACGATCATTATGATGCGTATTACTTGTCAAATTAAAGTGTTGATTTTTTTCACGTGTAATCAGGTTAACTTTTGTTTTGGATTAGGAAATTTCATTTAATTTCCAATGGCATATATTCCTATTATTCATAGTTCCATTTTGTCAACAAGCCCCGCTACTCATCCATAAATAAGTTTTCATAATCCTTTTTAATTCTAGTACTCTTCTTTTGCAGGTCGCCTGCGTCCGTCAAAACGAATAATCAGGTTTCAAGTCTGAAAATTATCAACATTTCGAATGAAGAGTAGAATGCCCCGTGTGGTGGAGTCTATCTTGCACGACAACCCCCTGTGTAAAGGGGTGGTGGAAGTCATCGAAGTTCAGTTTAAGAATGGTAAAGGGACTCTAACACGTCCTGAAAGACCTAGAATATCACCACCACCTCCACCACCACCTCTACTTTCCACCACCTCAGCACGTTCACCCATATCCAGCAAGTTCATGAAGAAGCTTCGTTCCAGCAAGGCGTGTGTCGACCTTACCCACAAGGAAGACAACAGGTCAAACGAATGTTCCGTGTTAGCCGATTTAGCAAATAAGTCAAACATTTCTAGCGAAAATATCCATAAATCTCCTGCAAAAGTTGGCCCCACCTGCGACGAAAACAAAGAACCTCTGGCTGAGACAAAAAACTCCGAACGGGTCGAGGCAGTGAAAAAGTCACCTCTGAAGACTGAGCCAGGAACTCCATCCCCCTCGAAAAGAGCCACTAGAAGTTGCACTAAAGCCTGCAAATCCGAGGAACTTAACAAGAGTTTACGCAGCCAGGAAACTTGCGATTCAATGGAAATCAACGTGGTTGACAACGATGAGCCGCTGGATGAAGATGTGGCCAGTTAGGTTCAGCCTGCTTCATTTATGCAGAAAATGGGCTAGTTAGGTTACCTACTACACTTGCGATGATGTGGCCAGTTAGGTTCAGCTTGCTTCATTTCTACAGAAAATAGGACGAGTTAGGTTGAACCTACTACACTTGCGATGATGTGGCCCGTTAGGTTCATCGTACTTTACTTGTGATAAATATGTGGCCTCTTAGGTTCTGCCTGCTCAACTAGAGATGAAGATTAGTGAGTTGTGTTCTGACTACTGCACTTGTGGTAAATATGTGTCCTCCGTCATTCAGCCTACTACACTTGTGATAAATATGTGGCCTCTTAGGTTCTGCCTGCTAAACTAGAGATGTAGATTCGTAGAAATTCGTTCTGACTACTTCACTTGTGGTAAATATGTATATAAACTAAAGCTGTGACTAATTAGGTTCCATCTACTCTACTTGCAAATGAAGATTAGGTCAGTTAGGTTCAGCTTATTTAACTTGTCATAAATATATGGCCTATTAGGTTCAACCTACTTAACTTGTGATTAAGTAGGCCATTTGGGTTCAGTTAAGTTTGCTTCACTAATATTGATGTGATCATTTAGGTTCAGCTTAATTAACTTGTAATATCTTTATAATTTCAATTTGTTCGCATTCCAAGGCTTGGCATATTGTGATACTAATTAGACAATTTAATGTTCTATCTTTCCACATTTGTAATGTACGCCATAGTTTTCCATATAGTTTTATGTTATAAAATGTTTAATACGACGTGCTTTTGGACCGCTGATCAGCTCTTAGTCGAGCAAGTATTCCAAAAGTTCAATGACTCACTGGACAAATGCTAAGACACAATTTTCTTGGAATAAAATGTTAATATGTAATTCTACCAGTCGAAATGTGAGTCACATTGAACATATCACCTAGCTATTCAATATATTTATAAAAACTTCAATCGAAAAAATATACTCTTATAGAGTTGAAATAAATTAGAAGGCGTTACCATTTGCTACAAAGCAATACGCTAAACCAGTTGGCTGACAGAAGGTTATGTGCTAGACCAGTTGGTTGACAGAAGGTTATGTGCTAGATCAGTTGGTTGACAGAAGGTTATGTGCTAGACCAGTTGGTTGACAGAAGGTTATGTGCTAGATCAGTTGGTTGACAGAAGGTTATGTGCTAGACCAGTTGGTTGCTAGACCTGTTGGTTGACAGAAGGTTATGTGCTAGACCTGTTGGTTGACAGTAGGTTATGTGTTAGACCAGTTGGTTGACAGAAGGTTATGTGTTAGATCAGTTGCTTGACAAAATATTAAGTGTTAGACCAGGTGTTTGATAAAGTAACGTTTTAGACCTGATTGATAACGGAATTTAACGTGTTGGACCTGATAACTGACGGAATGTCGCAAGTTAGACCAAGTGCCTTTCGTAGTTATACATTCAGGTAGCGGACGAAGGAAAATATTTACCTCTGTGATAATGTATTCAGCCGCACAAATATTTATTGCTCAAATGCTCCATTTGATAAGATGTGACCAAATGTTAGTACTCACACGTAACTGTTTACATTGATGCCATCTAAAATCATGTGAATGACGTCATGTAACAGAAATACTTTGTAGAGTATTATGAAATTATTTAATACGTGTTTACTATTCACTTATTAAATTTTAGGCATGCGAAACCTAGTTCTCATTCTCAGTTACCTGAGACTTAGTGTTTTAGTATCAATAGTAATTGAATAGGTTTTAATTGATAGTCATTAGGTAGCAGAAACTACCAATGATGTGAATGTAATTATTAGCTCAAACAATTCCTGTCTGTTGTCGTTTATATTGTTAAGGCGCTGATAGACTCTAGGCAGCCACGCATGTTGAAGAATAAATTTCATTGTACAATAGACATGTTTTTTTATTACTCACTTCCATTCCGTCTATTGTATTGTGTTCTAAGTTATTGTAGTGGCCTAAAAGATTGGGTAGAAGCAAAGATATAAAAAGGAGCTACAAGGAAGAGATCAATGTAAGAGTGATAGAGATAAANAGTATGAGGCTCTATAATGTGGTGCATAACAGTACGATGCATCATACTCCAGTGTATCATAGTATGATGCTGCATCGTAGTATGAGGCTCTATAATGTGGTGCATAACAGTACGATGCATCATACTCCAGTGTATCATAGTATGATGCTGCATCGTAGTATGAGGCTCTATAATGTGGTGCATAACAGTACGATGCATCATACTCCAGTGTATCATAGTATGATGCTGCATCGTAGTATGAGGCTCTATAATGTGGTGCATAACAGTACGATGCATCATACTCCAGTGTATCGTAGTATGATGCTGCACAGTGTAGTGCAGCATAGGTTAGTGCATCATAGTCCCTTGTATCATTGTATGAAGCTTCATATTCTGGTACACCATATGCACTAGTCATCATAGTATCTAGGCACAACATAATTCTCCGTCAATTCATCATGTTTCTGCAAGAAATTTCTTCTCATTCAATATTAAATGAAACCAATTGATCACGTACAGTACTAGATAATATCTATAGACGCCAGACTTAAAGAAAGGTTTTTACATGGAAATAATGGTATAATATTTGGATTTGTTCTGTGGAATATACATTACAAAGTATTTCAAAAATCTCTTCTACATTTAAAATTTTTAACCGCGTCCCGACGAAAGAGCGCAGCCATGACTGGACAAAGCGGTCAATATTACGAACGAATTCAATGCTTGCGATCAGTGTACGCGGAGCTGTCATCGAGTGTGGATGTGTTTGCCGTGTCTCCGCTATCAACAGGTTCCGAAAGCAATGAAAGTGCCGGGCGAGTGAGACTGCAGAGCAAAATATATGAAGACTAAATGATCTCGCTGATAATTACTGTGTCATCTAAATTATTTATTACTCAGTTTGATTAGCAAAATAATATTTAAGATGTAATTTGAGTCCCGCAACTTCGTGCTCGGTGAAGACAAGGCAGCGTCAAGATGTTACGCGGGAAACATTTTCGCACGACCTATTCTCGACCATCGCTAGGGGGAACACAGTTCTATCCTTGAAATAAATATACTTTACGTGTAATGTAAACTTCTTTGTTTATCAGGGTAATAAATATTTTAAAATAGAAACTTTTGCGTTGAGGTACAGTGACTAGGTACAGTCACGACTCTGAATGTAGAACTTGTAGAAGTAGCAGGCAGTGCATTGAATGTTTAACATGCGACTGATGTAGGTGTTTACATGAGTGAGTGACGTGCGACTGATGAAGGTGTTTACATGAGTGAGTGACGTGCGACTAATGAAGGTGTTTACATGCCTGACGTGCGACTGATGAAGGTGTTTACATGCGTGAGTGACGTGCGACTGATGAAGGTGTTTACATGCCTGACGTGCGACTGATGAAGGTGTTTACATGAGTGAGTGACGTGCAACTGATGAAGGTGTTTACATGCGTGAGTGACGTGCGACTGATGAAGGTGTTTACATGAGTGAGTGACGTGTGACTGATGAAGGTGTTTACATGAGTGACGTGCAACTGATGAAGGTGTTTACATGAGTGACGTGCGACTGATGAAGGTGTTTACATGAGTGAGTGACGTGCGACTGATGAAGGTGTTTACATGAGTGACGTGCGACTGATGAAGGTGTTTACATGAGTGACGTGCGACTGATGGTGTTTACATGAGTGAGTAACTTACGATCACCCGCAGGTATTCTTTAACTTTCTCATTCCAAATTCACTCACTAATTTCATTTGCTTTTGCCTTCGCTGTTCAATTACCATTCGATGAAAGTTTGTATATATTAATATTAATGTGATAGTTTCCAATTAATCACCCTCCCATGCCCCCCTGTATGTCATTTGCTTTAGACTTCGCTGTTCAATTACAACTCGATTAAAGCTTATATTTACTCATAATAATGTTATAGTTACCAACCATTCACCCCCCTCCCTGCCCCCCTGTATGTCATTTGCTTTTGACTTCGCTGTTCAATCACAACTCGATCAAAGTTTATATTTACTCATAATATTGCTATAGTTTCCAACCGTTTATATTTACTAATAGTAATGTTATAGTTTCCAACCGTTTATATTTACTCATAATAATGTTATAGTTTCCAACCATTCACCCCCCTGTATGTACCCTCGCCCTGAAGGCCATCTCTCCATTGGGTTGGAAGACACGCTTCCATGCGGAAGAGATTCTGCCTGCCATGGCCATATGGAGCTGAGGTCTGCACAGACTGCCTTGCCTGTTTTTAGCGCATTTTCTCATTTATGGAAAAAAGGCGCTATTTTGCTCGTCATGTCCGTCCGTCCGTCCGTCCGTCCGTGACTTCATGTTTTCGTCGACGAAAAAATGCGCTGTCTGCCACTCACTGCAGTGAGTACTGAGGTATATTTTTTATTATATTGAGACTGTATTACGTGACGTGAGAATAGGGAATATACACGATGTACTTCCTATATACGATTGGGGAACCGTATCACGGTATCATGCGATATAGGTATCGTGTTATACGATTCGGTATTTTTATACTCACTTTCACGATTTTACCTAAAAAATGGTTATACATACGATATGGTAACCGTGTTAACGATATGACGATCGTATATACGATATGGTAGCTGTTTATACGATTTGCTGATGTTATGCTTGTCCCTAAATGGTGTGTTTTGGTATGTTATATACGCTCTTACCCCCGATAAACATCATGAACGATCTCCGTACCATCCGATATACGAATAGATCATTAATATAGATACGTGGCATCAAGTTTGTGTTTCTAGCCTTTCGATCACTAAATAACAAGTAAAATGATAAACGAGTGAATTTGTGATTCTTATTCCAGCAATTTATTTCCAGCGCAGGCAAGTTTCTGGACAGGTTTCTGCTGGAGCTTAAAAAGTGAAGTTGTTCATGTTTAATGATGTCTTGTGAGATAGTTTAGGCTTACTTAACAGAGAAGAACTGCGTCGTTATTATGTTGGAGTAAAAGTAGTAGTGGCAGTGCAACAGGATCAGCTGCAGTAGTGGCAGTGCAACAGGATCAGCTGCAGTAGTGGCAGTACAACAGGATCAGCTGCAAAGGTTATAAGTCATGCAATATCTCCTTGGTTTTTCTCGCATTAATCTTCAGTTTCAATTGCAAAGTGAAATGATGAGCTGAAATTAGCATGGAGAAAAAGCTGCTGGAATTACAATGATTGTGGCAACGCCACAATGATGTATCGATGCGATGATGTCTCTGCGTCGTAGGGTTCTGTTGTTGTTACTGCTCTTTTTGTTGCTCTTGTTCTGCCTTTACACCGTCAACAGACCCTTCCTAGACAGGTTTCCTGATACCGTCCCGGTTTCTCCGTCTACAAGTCAAACTAAACTAAGATCGTTGACAGGCAAAGGGATGGTTGATTATTCATTCAACCACCTTCGCGCTTCCCACCACGTTTATTTCAAGCCGAATCTAAAGAAGTTATCGCTGAAAACTAACGAAGAAAACGAGTTTTCTGGACAGGATGGTTTTCGGGTGGGACTTCGACAAAATAATGAAAGGCTGTCTCGAAAGAATGGCATTACATCTGCAGAAAGCCATGCCATTATTTCGCCATCTAAGAAGTTCAAAGAAGATGGAAATGAGTCAAGGAATGATATTGGCTCGATGGTTATAGATAGCAGCACCGGAGCTTACTTTTTCAGTTCAAACAATAGCAAAAAATGGACACGAAGAATTCACAGAAAAGTAGCGAACACGGATGTCGTTGTAGGGGCATCTAAACTTAGTAACCTTACCCTATATAAAACAATTTCTATGAATACGTCTTCCTCGATTAGTGAAGATGAGACACAGATGACTCATGACCGCGTAATACATTCCAAAAACATTACAAATCGATCAAAAAATGTTATAAATGTCCAACTCAAGTCGCCAAACGTTACATTTCCCGAGATGTCGCTACGATCGTCTCCTAAATCTTCCTCGATTTCCGGGCAAACTTCATCCCCATACGAGATAAAGCCACGCAATAATGCGAATTATTCTGACGTAAAGCATTTAATAGAAGCAAAAAATGATTATTTTTCTGACGAGGTCGACTATGCCGATGAAAATTATT